TTTACGGCTCGACTCGCCTGCTTTCCCGCTCGCCTGCTTGCCATCACAACAGAATGCAGGCGAGTCGAGCCGTAAAGTCAGGCAAACTTGACAATAATATGTCAAGCGCCACGATATTTAACTAACTTACATTTTAGGAGCCTCACAACTTTTTACCCTTGAGCACCTTCAGGAGATAAATAAAAAATTGCTAGTTCGTTAGAACTATATAGTATGATGCGTGCAATTCTGGTGTAGGGTATAACTGAGATTCGGCGCAGTACAGCAGTTTGGACATATTGAGTCTATGATTCTGATTCCATGTTTAGCATTAGCGATGTCGGTAATTGTGTAACTAGTACGTACCTATTCTGAAGAAATTTAATACCGAACAGCTTTCAAAAATGCAGTATTGCGGTACTATTTCAGTACATGGTATCCCGCGCAATGTCCCGTAGCGCACACGGAGCAGGAAGACAGCACAGGATCCAAAGCGATTGGGTAATTATGGGGTTTATTATGGACAAATCAGGAGCATTACGCATACACAAAGGATAGACGTCACAAGGTTAATGACCAGACTGGGGAAACATACTTAAACGCAGACTTAAATACACAGGACTAATGACAGCAACTCGAAACAACTTATCACACGGGGATTCCACACAAGGTAATGAGGGGGCAGACACGGGAGGAGCAGACGAGCGGGGCATGACACGCAACACTAGTCTGCACAAACTGTGGGACTATCTTCTAAAACGTGCAGAAGAAATAAACACAATTTGCTGCGTTGCATACTAGCTAAATCGATGTGTGTCATTGTGCCCAAAATGATTCCAAATAATCCACAAAATAAGGACTTTAATAATAAATTCCAATTTGCTGTGTGATAGTGCTTTCCTTCCCATAAGGGGAATTCTGTGAGTGCAGTGGTTGCTCACTGGCATCCTCTGCTGGCCTCTGCAGCTGCTCCTGGCTGATAGTAGAATAGAATAGAATAGAATGTCCTTATTATCATAGTACTAGGATTGGGTATCATTTGGGGTTTTCCAATACTGGTGCTAAAATGATACTTTAAAAATAGTTCCTGAACCCGTACTTAAAAAATAATAATAAAGCACAAATGAAGGTTGACGACATTAAAGAACAGCTTTTTTAGTTCTAAACCAAATTTGAACTTCAAACTGAACAATTTATTAACACCTTAAATGTATAAAGGTATTGGGGCTTTGAATCGATTAAGAAAACTAATTAATTGCATAGTACTTTGTAATTAATCATAGCTAATATTAAGACTTATGATAAATCTTTACATTGAATCCTTACTGACGGCCGCCATACTTAGGGAGTAGCTGTTGCTGTAGCAGATCAGCTCCTTCCGATGGTGTCTGATGTCACACAGCTTTCAGTGAGTGTATCATGAGACTCAGGCTAAGGCACTCATTGGGTGTCTTGTCTGTTGTTTCAGTGTTTGCTCCGACCGCGGTGAGTGGTCTCTCGTTGAGGGAGACATTTTACTCACAACTTCGCTCGGTGGTTGAAGGGTGCCCACAAGGTGACACTCCTCTGGTCATGGGTGACTTCAGTGTGGTCTAGTGACCCACGTCCTGCTTACAGAGGAATAGAAGCATTATGTACATCTGAATTTGTTCCTTGGAGACTTGCAGTCAGGGCGGGTGACAGAACGGTCCTTACGGATGACACTGCAGTTGTGACCCGCTGGGCCGGCTACTTTGAGCAGTTGTTTAAAGCTGACCCTCTGCCTAGGATGTTGGACATCTCTGGGTCCACAGTTCTCAAAGCTGATCCTCTGATCAGCTGTGAATCACCCAATCTCACTGAGATTGCACGGGTGGTGAATCAGCTGAGGGTAGGGAAGACTGCAGGGATCTGTGATATCCGGAGTGAATTTCTCCAGGCTGGTGGTAAGGCTGTCCTCCTGGTATTGCAGGCAATCTTTGCCTCCGTTTGGGAGTCAGGCGTCATCCCAACTGACTGGAAAACGGGACTTGTAGTCCCCATCTGGAATGGGAAGGGTGATTGCCTGGATTGCAGCAACTACAGGCGGATAACACAGCTTACAGTACTGGGTAAGGTCCTTGCCAGGGTCATCCTTAACAGGATCCATGAAAACTTGCTTGCCTGTTAGTGACCGGAGCAGTCTGGTTTTACACCTACAGTAAGTAGTCTACCATCGATCGTTTCCTTATACTGAGGGTTCTCATCGAGTGCAAGCATGAATATCAGCAGACGTTCTTTGCAGTCTTTGTCAATTTTCCTAAACCATTTGACTCAGTTGATCGAGTTCCCCTGTGGAGCAATCTGAGACTTTGCGGGATCACCCCAA